GGCCATTTGAAGCAACTTTTTCCTGTATAAAAATTTTCTCCGAGGCACCGTTAACGAGTTATTAACGAAAAACTGTGACCAATGAGAGGCGAGCTTGGCTGGCGCGAGGCGATCGAGCCAATGAGCGGAACTGGGCTTCGCGCACTGGTTGGCTGGGTCGCTTCGCGTCAGCCGTACTCGATTCTTATTGGTCACTGTTTTTCGTTGATAACTCGTTAACGGTGCCTCGGAGAACATTTTTGTAAAGGAAGAAGTTGCTTCAAATGATCCGAGGAACCAGCCATTTCCGGATTGCGAGACATTTTTGGGACACCTTGTAGACTGTTGTAAATCGATGTGAAGACAAAAGAAGTGTGAAACGATGCATACGAAGACGATTATTTGGTTCAAACGATGAGCAAGTGAGCTACTAGAGCAAGCCACTATAGTGGCGCGTCGTCCAGAGAGATGACATCCGCGAAAACCACTATAGTGGCGTGTCGTTTTGAAAGATGACATCCGCGGAAGCTACTATAGTGGCGCGTCGTGTCTAAAAGGTTAATTGGAGCCTGAAGAATCCGTGAGATCCCTCTTACGGCCTGCGAGGGCATGGATTTTTCGAAGAGCCGAGAACATATTTCGCTGGGGGGAGAGGGACTGGATTACGCCGGAGAATCTTAATCGACGCGGAAACGGATATTTCGTTATTCGCGCAATCATAATCGTATCGAATCGTAGAATCGAATCGCAAAACCGCGGTATTTTATGCGAGCGATACAACAACTCCCAATCAAATCTGTATGATATAAAATAGATCAGCCCGCGAACTAATTTTCCAATACGAGCTGATAATTGCGTCATCGTCGTGCAGGTGACACGGCGGTCGAAGTGTCAATTAGGGGAATATCGCGGAGCCTTTATATATAGAATCAATCTAGCGAGTACAGTAAATTCTCCCTAATTTTCCTTCTGCTTCGATGCAAGAATGAACAATTTGCGAAGAAGCGGTACAATTGTTCTCATAGTTCGTCGATCGGCGATAATTGTACAGATTTTAATTATATATAATTGTACAGATATTAGATATTAGATATTAGATTAGATTAGATATTATAATATATAATATTAGATTAGATATTCTATATAATTGTACAATTGTACAGACTTCCAGGCTTCGAACGATCGCGTCTTCTCTTCCAAAAGAATTATTGTTTACGAGCCGAAGGAAAATTCGGGAGAATTTACTTAGATCATCCTTTGTTGTTGCATTGGAATTCTGGCGATTCGAACGATCGGATGATCGCGAGACAGATTTGTAGAACACGTCCGTGGATCGTCGATTGTGAACGGACGAGATGTTTCGCACAATGCGGAGGGACAGCAGAGAGAGAGAAAAAAAGAAAGCAAATCGGCGTCGGGTACCTAGGCGAGCACGTTTTCAGAATACGTTCCTGGTTGTCTCCCCGGTCCCTGACATTGTCTTCTCGAGGATGAAATCGAGCGGCGAGCTGCTTGCTTGCTTGCTTGCTGGGTCTGCAGGAGGGCAGGGCGGCCGGGCGCGGAGGGAAACGAGACTGGAACGATTGCGTATGCACGGTACACAATAGGTGAACGTGCGTACGAGGTCGCGGCGGGAAGGAACTACCAATTCGGCGTGTCTCGTTGCAGCCGGTAAACACAGGTGCAGCAGAGAGGCCGGGGAACACGTCGGAAGTGTTTTTGCAACGGGGCATATACAAAGGCGAGCCTTGAGAGTGACCGATTTCGTAACCCCGTT